CTTTCTGGTGGCATCATTATCCTCCCCCTCATTATTACCTCTCAGAGAAGCCTGGGGGGTGGGGGTGGGAGGTAGGTCCTGTCAGCGTTTCCCTAGCAGGTGAGGACTCAGAGGCTCAAAGAGGTTGAGGAGCTTTCCCAAGTTCACTCAGCTAACGGGCGGGAGAGCCAGGCCCAACGCATTTTCCAGCGCTTGGCTATTATCAGTGGTGGAAGCACAGCTCATTTAAGCTGTTTCACACAAAAGCATTAAGGTAACTGAACCACATAGTGAGATAGTATTCTATTTTCAGTTATCTTCCATTCCTTCTGATTCAATCGAGGAAAGCCTCAGAAACACTCGAATACCCGTTGAAAAGTTCTCTAATGTGCCAATCTCCCTTTCTAACACAGAAAGAGCAGGCAACAGTATCTAGCTTGAGTTTAATGACATTGTTTTGTTTTCCTTGTATTTACTTTTATGGAAACATGTTGGTTTCCCATATAAATGCTCTATAAAAATATATTTAAGTTTTTAAAAGTGAGTAGATTTACAGGACAGTATTAAGTCAACAAATAGTATGGTTAGTTCATTAAAATGGCAAAAAAATTGTGAGGTTTGGGGCCTCAAGGCTGGGGAATAGTAATAAGGAGGAACTTAAGACAGGATGCCAGAATCCATTGCCTGGCCTGGCCTCTTCAGTCCCCAGGGGCCACCTCTCTCCTCAGTTCCTGGCAGGGATCCCGAGCCTCCAGAAAAGACAGTTACCATCTAAATACTCCAGACCCACCAGGAGTGCAGCCTTTTCTTTATGCTGCCTTATTGTCCTTAAATTTCTCCATTTCAAGGAGGTGAGGGGTTCCATCTCTCTTAGCATAATAAAAATCACTGGCATTTTTCTCTTAAACAACAAAAAAAAGAGCAGCCAGTTTTCTCCTCACATGCAATTAAATGACAGGCAGCTTTGCCAAGGCGGTCCTTTAGGTCCATTAAAGGCCTGGTAGAGCCTTCGGTCCTAAGAGCAGCCTCCCAGCGGGAGGGCTTTGCTCCTCCCTGCTCAGAGTGAAAACTCTTCCTGGTGCATGGCTCTGACCTAGGCCCTGGCGTCTTCTGTTCAGACATGCCAGTTTTTCTTGGGCCAGTCTCCTTGGCTTGGCATTCGAGGCCCTTCACAATCAGTCCAGTAAGGTGAGGTAAAAGCACATTGGGCCAGGACTCTGGATACCGGGGTTCTGGTGCTAGAGTGAGCCCTAATTTGCGGTGTGACCTCTGTGGGTCCCGTTTAACCATCAGTAGAAAGAAGGGACTGCCTCGTGGTCTGAGAAGGAATAGACAAGAAAGATTTGGACAGATCAGTCAGGTGGTGATAGGTAAGAGAGATCATGGTGAACTGAAGTGGTGGTAGCAATAAGATAGAAGGAGTATTGGACAGGTGCGAAAAGTATTTCTAAGGTAGAACTGATAGGTCTTGCTGATGGGTTGAATGATCTTTTACCCTCTCTGCCTCCACCCCCTTCGGTATTTAACTTTGAAGTGTCCTCTGCCTCTGTCTCTGGACTTGACCGTGTGCCTGGCTTTGGGTAATAGAATGAAGCAGAAGTGCAAGTATGGTGCTTCTAAGTCTACAACTCGAGAGGCCTTGCTCTTTCCTGTGTTTCTGTCATCTCCATGAGGACATTCCTGAGGTCGCCTACTGGCATGGAACAGATACGTGGCAGAGACTTGAAGTGCCCAGTCAGCCCAGTTGAGACTCGTCTAGATCAGTGGTCGGCAAACTCATTAGTCAACAGAGCCAAATATCAACAGTACAACGATTGAAATTTCTTTTGAGAGCCAAATTTTTTAAACTTAATCTATATAGGTAGGTACATTTTTATTAACTTAATTAGGGTATTCCTAAGGCTTAGGAAGAGCCACACTCAAGAGGCCAAAGAGCCGCATGTGGCTCCCGAGCTGCAGTTTGCTGACCACAGGTTTAGATGAGTCTTTTCTAGAGCTGACATTCTGTGGACTGTGGCTTGAGACTGAATTAATTGACCAGCTCAAGATCTAAGAGGCCGAAAGAGCCAGAGCTGCAGTCCAGCTCTCAGACTTGACCATACCCAGCCCAGCCACAGGGAGGACTTTGATGCTTTGCCACTTCAAATTGTTTTATGCCTGAGGCATCCCATGTCAGGAAAAACAGGTCTGCTGGGAATTAAGCTGGCCTCCTGGCTTCCCAATGGGTCTTCTCATGTAAATAATCAGCCAAAAAGCTCTATAGGTTGAGGAAGCTGCTCGCACTTGATCCCTCTTAACACTCCTCCCATCCCAAATGACTGGTTTCAGCAGTTTTCTGTCTTGTCTTTTAAAAAGGAAGATAGGTGCTTTTAAAACTTGCCAGAGCCTTAGCTGGTTTTGCTCAGTGGATAGAGCGTTTGCCTGTGGACTGAAGGGTCCTGGGTTCTATTCCAGTCAAGGGCACATGCTGGGGTTGTGGGCTCAATCCCCAGTAGGGGGAGTGCAGGAGGCAGCTGATCAATGATTTTCTCTAATCATTGATGTTTCTATCTCTCCTTCTCTCTTCCTCTCTGAGATATATATATATATATATACACACACACACACACATATATATACACATACACACACACACACACACATATATTTTAAAAACTTGCTAGAAAGCAGATGTTCAGCATAAAATATTTGAACAATATAGAAATGTACGAAGAAGAGTAAAAGTCAACTAAAAATATTATGTACCTACCCCTGTTTGAGTGATCTTTCATGAACATTTTTGTGTTCATCCTCCTAGGCTTTCTCTAAGAAATACAGGGTGGGGCAAAAATAGGTTTACAGTTGTGAGTACGTGAAAGAGTTGATTCTTGTGTTATTATTTACTCTTATATTATTTTCCATAGAAACAACTATAAACCTACTCTTGCACACCCTGTATAAAGACATATATTGTTATAATGAAGACAGGACCATACTACAAATACTATTATAATTTTTTAAAAGTTCAAATTGTGATTTATGAAAATACAAAGTGAACATTTTTCAAAGTTTTATTAACTTAGTAATTAATGAATTGTCAACTGAAAAATAATATTGACTAGATGTTTTGTCACCAAAAAGGATTTATTCTGGAAAAAGAAGGGGTTGCAACCCAGTGTACGCAGATGTGGCTAGCCATGTACCTACCCACTCTGGCTTTCAGACCTAGGTGGAGGGATAGTCATAGAAGGGAAAAGAAAGTTAAGGAAAGGGGAAGTTAGAATCATAGAGTGTTATTATAAACAGAGTTCTTCTTATAGGGTTTGGCCTGTAGGGTTCTCAAGATTCCAATTCCCATAGAGTGTGAGAACTTCTATAGCCCTAGGTCCTCCCAATTAGTCTTCTGCAGAATGAACCAGTCATATAGTAAAACCAGTTCAAAGGAGAATCTGATTAACATACAGCGATACATACACACAATTAAGATTGCAGAAGTACATTTTCTAATAGATGTAAAATTGATAACTATCATTAGCACAATAAACTGATGTTTAATCTCTTAAATTGTACATTTACAGACAAAATCAGTTTGTATTTCTATGAACAAGAAAAATTTGCATTATTATAATTTTTCTACAGTTTATAGGGTTGTGAAATAGCTGAGTCAGAGATAGTGAAAGACAAGCCCTAGCTGGTTTGGCTCAGCGGCCTGCGGACTGAAGGGTCCCGGGTTGGATGCCAGTCAAGGGCACATGCCCGGGTTGTGGGCTCGACAGGAGGCAGCTGATTAATGATTCTCTCTCATCGTTGTTGTTTCTATCTCTCTCCCTTCTTCTCTGAAATCAATAAAAATATATTTTTTTAAAAAGAAAGAAGAGTACAATGAACAACCTTACATCCTTCATCTAGATTTGCTAATTTTGCCACAGTTGCTTTATTTCTGTGTACTATACGTACACACACACACACACACACACACACACACACACACAGACACACACACACATGCCTTTTCCCCCCGAATCATCTGAAAGTTGCTGGTTTGATGTCTGTTTACCTCTAAAATCATTAGCACATATCTCCTAAGAACAAGAACACTTTTCTACACGATCATAATGTTATTGTCACATTCAGTAAATGCATGATTAATGCCATAAAACCTAAAAACAGTTAATGTTTACATTTCTTCGATTGGCCTGATTATGTTGTTTTATAACTTTTCAGTCTTCATCCAGCAGTATAAGAAGCATTTAGTTTCCATGTCTCTTTAGTGTCCATTAGTCTGGAACAATCCCCCCTGCCCTTTTTTTTTGTCTTTCCTGACATTGGCATTTTTGAAGAGTCCAGGGCAGTTGTTTATAAAATATTTCATAATTTGAGTTTGTCAAATGTCTCCTCATTATTCAATCAGTTCACACATTTTGGGGCAAAAGGCTGTCTAGACCATGCCATGTCTTTCTAGTGCATCCCATCGGAAGGCATATGTTATCAGCTTGTTCCATTATTGGCAATGACCTTGTCTGTGTTTTTGGGCAAGTGACTTCACCTTGTTGAATCCTTGACTTTTCCATCTGTAAAAAGGATTCATTCATATAAAGTGCTTAGTCTAGTGTCAGACACATGTTAAATGCTCAATAAATGAAAGCTACCTTTGCCAACAGTGCTGTTATTATTTAAACCTGAGAAAATTCTGTTATTCAGTGGATTAAGGGGATAGAAACAATGAATTTGATTTTGAAGATCCTGATCCAGCTCTGTGACCTTGAACAATTCTTGTCCTCATTCTGATGAACTCCATTTCCCTCACCTCTAAGTCAGGGCTCAGAATCCCTACCCTGCAAACTTCATAGCATCATTCAACAGATTGCATGGGTATCTACTGTGTGCAGAGTAATCACAGTCCCAACGCTAAAAGCAAAGAGTGAGCGTTGCTATTCTCCTCCTTTAACACATGGTTAATTGGCGTTTCAGAGCCAAAGCATAGCAAAGTGGGGACTCCATCCAGCCCTCCCTGACCTCTGTGCCTGTCCTCTTTCCTTTAGGTCACCGTGTCAGAAGAGCAAAGGAGCATTAGATGTGAAAACGCTCCACGGAGCTGCAGAGCCCTATAAAGGTAAAAGGGTATTTCATCAGCCCAATTACATTCCTTCTAGCGAAAACGTAACTGGGAGGACAGCAGGAGACTTTGGGTACATTTTTTTCTTCTTTTCAATTCTTGAGATAATTCATGAGAGTCTTAGGTTGATGTCATTTACCAAGGACTTCTCCTACATTCTCCTACTTCTCCTACAATTACTAGGTGAAGGTAGCAGAGATCCAGCCAGCCCAGAATCAAATCTTCAATTGAAGAAGCTAATTAGAAAAGCTTTTTGAAGTAGTAATTCATTTAGGACCTTCTTCTGAAGAAGACCCAGAAAAAGCACAGGTTATTCCCACTTATATTCCCCTGGGGAGAAGTCAGACACACGGTCACCCTAACCACAAGCGAGGCTAAGCAAAGATGGTTTGGTGGGGCAGCCATATGCCTGGCTACAGGGCTACTCACAGGCAAAAAAGGGAGGAAGGGTTTGGTGAACAGTCAGCAATTTCTGCCATATGTCATTCCAGATAGCCTACATTTCCTTGAGGATCTGTGTTAGTTTCCTAGGCCTGCCATAACAAAGTACCACACATTTGGTGGCTTAAAACAGCAGAAATATCTTGTCTCACATTCTGTAGCCCAGAAATCCAGGTGTTGGCAGTGCCAATCTCACTCATGTCTTTTCTAGCTTCTGGCCACTTTAAGGAGTTTCTTGGCTTGTAGATGCATCACTCCCATCTCTGTCCTGACATGGCCTTCTCTATGTGTCTTCACATTGTCTTCCCTTTTATGTATCTGTCTCTGTCTGAATTTCCCCCTTTTTTTTATTTTTTTAAAAAATATATTTTATTGATCTTCTACAGAGAGGAAGGGAGAGGGATAGAGAGCCAGAAACATCGATTGGCTGCCTCCTGCACACCCTCCACTGGGGATGTGCCCACAACCAAGGCACATGCCCTTGACTGGAATCGAACCTGGGACCCTTCAGTCCGCAGGCCGACGCTCCATCCACTGAGCCAAACCAGTCAGGGCTGAATTTCCCCTTTTTAAGGACCCCAAATCTATTAGATTAAGGCCCACTTTCATGACCTCATTTTTAACTTAACTATTTCTTTAAAGAGCCTGTTTCCAAATAAGTCCACATTTGGAGGTATTCAGGGTTAGGACTTCAATATATCTTTTTGGGAGGGATACAATTCCATTGATAGCAAGGTCTAATATCTGCAACCAACTTTTGGGCACTGATATCTGGATCACTTGTAACAGAAGCAAACAGAACATATTGAAGAATATTGGGAAACTCCTGGAATGGAAGGAGCACTTGAATAATCAGGCTTTGGGAGACAGAAATCGGGGCCACCCCAGGCCAAAATGTGGACATCTCCTTAGAGCCTGCCTTCTAGATGACACCGCTCCTGAGTACTTATGGCCAAGTTTCCCTTCTCTCAAGACACAAATTCTTGGAAGAGTCCCTTAGGTCAGCCTGTAGTGGAGTCAGGGTTAGGGGTATGTGGATGGGGCCAAGTGAAGGGCAGTCTAGCTGGACCTCCTGGGGTGTGGGAAGGGTAGTTCCTCCAAAGAAAGAGAGGGGCTTCTATCAAAAGATGGGGAGGAATGCCTGGCCTGTGTGGCTCAGTGGTTGAGCATTGACCCATGAACCAGGAAGGAGGTCACAGTTCCATTCCCAGTCAGGGCACATGCTATGGTTGCAGGATCGATCCCTAGTAGGGGGCATGCAGGAGGCAGCCAATAGATGATTGTTTCCATCTCTTTCTCCCTCTCCCTTCCTCTCTTTCAAATTAATAAAAAAATATTTTTAAAAAAGATGAGGGAAAGATGTGTTGTGCAGGCAAAACCACAGCTGTTTGCTACACATTGTAATTCATTTGAGAAAGATTGTCAGCTCAGGCAGTTATATTTCTAAATATTTTGGCATTTAAAGGAGCCATTTAGTCATCTGGAAAATGCAAAGTAGTGGAAAAATGCAGTATCATGTGGTAGAAAGAGCTTATAATGGAACTAGGAGAGCAGGTTTTGTTTTTTTTAATATTTGCAGATGGTATAATCCTATGCTGAAAACTAAAGCAAATTAACTGAAAAGCTCTTGGAAACAACAGGATTGCTCAACTAAGTATCAAGTTTCTAACTAGCAATAAAAATAATGCAGTATAATCAATTAGAAAAAAAGCATAACAGAACTAAAGATGTTATTCAAATTAGCCACCAAGGCAATTTGTAAAGGATTAAATTCAGCAAAAACTGCAAAGGGTCTGAGATTCTACTTGGAGACATAAAGGATGAAGGGTGGGAAGACTTGTGATTATAAAGATATCATTACTCTCTAAATTTATTTATTCAGTGCAGAAATCTCAGTAAAAAAATAAAATCACCTCAGCCAACTAAAATCTTCATTACTTTTTTAACTTGAAAATATGAGTGTAAAATTCATAGGAAAATTGCCTGACCTTGGATGTCAGGCCCTCATAACCAACAAGCTTCCTTCCAAGGAACAGGGCCTGGGTCAGTGATGGCGAACCTTTTGAGCTCAGCATGTCAGCATTTTGAAAAACCCTAACTTAACTCTGGTGCTGTGTCACATATAGAAATTTTTTTATATTTGCAACCATAGTAAAACAAAGACATATTTTTGATATTTATTTTATATATTTAAATGCCATTTAACAAAGAAAAATCAACCAAAAAAATGAGTTCGCGTGTCACCTCTGACACGCATGTCATAGGTTCGCCATCACTGGCCTAAGTTTTGACTCTGGCTCTGCAAGTAATGTAATCTTTTCGGGCCATAATGTCCTTACTGTGAAGTGGGATAATCATATCTTTCTGCTTACAGAGCTGAAGCAAGCTGAGAGAAAATATTTGAAATAGTTTTATAAATTGTAAGGCACTCATCAAGCTATAATACAGTTTTCTAAAAATCCTCCAATAACGCCAGATAAATTCAACATTGTGAATTTAACAATCACAATGAGAAATATTTTCTTTTAAAAAAATATATATTTGCCGAAACCGGTTTGGCTCAGTGGATAGAGCGTCGGCCTGCGGACTGAAAGGTCCCAGGTTCGATTCCGGTCAAGGGCATGTACCTGGGTTGCGGGCATATCCCCAGTAGGAGATGTGCAGGAGGCAGCTGGTCGGTGTTTCTCTCTCATCGATGTTTCTAACTCTCTATCTCTCTCCCTTCCTCTCTGTAAAAAAATCAATAAAATATATTAAAAAAAAAATATATATATATATATTTTATTGATTTTTTTTTACAGAGAGGAAGGGAAAGGGATAGAGAGCTATAGAAACATCGATGAGAGAGAAACATCAATCAGCTGCCTCCTGCACACCCCCTACTGGGGATGTGCCTGCAACCAAGGTACATGCCCTTGACCAGAATCGAACCTGGGACCCTTCAGTCCTCAGGCCGACGCTCTATCCACTGAGCCAAATGGGTTAGGGCGAGAAATATTTTTATTGCTCTCATTTTGCAAAAGGACCAACCCCTTTTCTCTCATTAAACACAGTTGATTAGTAAATACTTGATTCCTTCGGAGGAGAGAGAAAAGCTAATGTGAGCTGTTTATTGCACTAGAGAGGCAGCCATTGGTGTGGCCACTCCCAGGTCATGTGAACTGAGCAAGATGCTCATGCTTTCTAGCACCTCCTCTGCTCCACCCTCCTTACCCTGAGTTATCATTATCTTCTGTAGAATGAAAGGTTAGGGACTTCATGAAGTTTGAGAACAAAAAGCCTGGAGTCCTCACAAATCTCAGTTTGAACCCTGGTGCCAGCATTTACCTTGAACAATTCATTTTTTCTTTTCCCAGGTTTAAAAATCTATCAGACAGGATGATAATATCTATCTCATCAAGAAGACCCGAGGCTTAAATGTACATACAAACTGCCTGGAACATAGTAAATGCTCAATAAAATGGCAGCTGTTGTAATTACCATAATAATACGATTATATATGAATATTATTATTCTTATTATTGCTACTACCTCTAAGGCCCTTTGCAGCTCTGAAATTCTAGGATAATATGTCAGAGTAAAGCTAAAACAGGAAGAAAAGAGAAAAGATTTCCTTATTAGGACTTGAGTCAGTATTGCAAGTGGGACAGTTTTCTAGAAGACAAGCCCGTGTGCTCACAGAGCCTTATTTAACCTTGGTGACTCACAACCAGAACTCACGGCGCCCTGTCTGCTCTGGAAAAAGGGGGGAGAGTTAGACAAAGCCAGATGGGGTTGAACAGGGGAAAATCCTGGCCTGGGAGCCTGCAGCTGATGACTCCTCAGAGAGCCTAGTAGTCCAAGAGTTTTTAACTCTTATAAAATATATTGAACTGAGGATTTTTTTTCTGCAATTAATTTTTGAGATAGACACCACTGATGGCCAACTCAAAGCTGCTATGCCTCTCTCCATCCTTGAGGGCAGAATCCTGATGTGAGTCAGGAGAGAAGGATGCAGCCTCAGGGCAAGGGCTAGGAGGAAGTTTGATTATTCTTGCCGGTGATTGGCTTAGGAATGGCCATGTGACACCATTCTGGCTAATGAGATAGGAGGGGAGTGTACTCTGAGGCTTCTGGGAAAATTTACCTCATTGTTAAAAAAAAAAAAAAAAAAAAAAAAGACATGCCCTACCTGTACTTTTCATGGGACTACAAAAACAGTACAACCACTATGGAGGGTGTATTAGGTTCCAGTTGTTACAAATTACCACAAACTTGGGGACTTAAAACAACACAAATTAGTCTCTTAAAGTTCTGGAGGTCAGACGTCTCACTGGGCTGAAACCAAGATGCTGACAGGATGTGCTCCATCAGGAGGCTCTAGGGGAGATTCTGTTTCCTCCCCTTTTCCACCTTCTAGAGCTTCATTCTTTGCATTCCCTGGCACATCTTCAAGACCAACAAGATAGTATCTTCAAAACTCTCCCTGCGCTATCTTCTTAAGGCCTTCTCTCCCATGGTAACCTTTCCCTCCGCCTCCCTATTATAAAGGAACCTTACAATTGTATTTAGAGTTT